ACACACACACACACACACACACACACACACACACACACACACACACACACACACACACACACACACACACACTTACTTTATACCCCTCCCAGCCTGAAAATAGTCATTATGGGCGGGACAACTGGGGAGGGTGCAATGATAAGGAAGTGAAGTATGTTGGGAAAGATGTATGTCGTTTAAAAAAAAGGTAAAAATGCTTGAGTCAGAATGTGCACTGCAGGACACAAGAAGAGCAGGTGATGTGTGAAATGATAATAGAGAAGCAGACAGAGAGTGACTAAGACTGGGAGATACGGCGAAAAAAAGAAGCTAAAGCAGGGAGGGAGGGAGGGAGGGAGGGAGGCGGAAGAAGCTGAGGGGACTGCAGCAGCAAAAATGATGCAGTTTGAATCTTCACTGGCACCATTAGGTGATGAGCTTCAGCACCTCATCATCCACAACTGTCATGTGCTGACTTTATTTGAACAAAATGTTAACATTATTAAATAAATATAAAAGTTAATAAGTAGTGTTTTTTCCATACAGCTGAAGAGTGGAAGTTTAGATCAGTTTGATAACATTTGCATTTATAGTACACCTCGTACGAAGAACCATTTCTTTTACCTACTTGGATACTTACCAAGTTATAAGTTCATTGAGTCTTTTTACTTATCCATTTAATTCATGTATTTCAGTTGTGTAATCCTGGACATGTTACAGCAAGGGAATGTTTTTAATGTCTCTACATTGAACTGCAGGTATGTCTGTGATGTTTTATCAAATTCTTGATGCCTGATTTACATTCACTTTTAAGACCTTGTAAGAGAAAGTCTTATTTAAGTTTCTGAAGATGTTTCAACTCTTATTCAAGAGGCTTCTTCAGTTCTAAACCCAAAAGGTGGAGTGCACCAGGTATTTAAATCCTAGTGGGATTCTGTCTTCTCTGTCCAAAATGTGAACATTGGCATCCTCTAATCTCTGGCTATCTACTGCAAGATCTCTTTGATCTTTCTCCCCTCACCCCAACCAGTTACTCAGATGGCCGCCCCTCCCCGAGCCTGGTTCTGTTTGAGGTTTCTTCCTATTAAAAGGGAGTTTTTCCTTGCCAATATCACCAAAGTAATGCTCATAGGGGGTCATATGATCATTGGGGTGTTCCGTTTTCTTGTCCATTTTTTATTGTAGTTTGTACCTTACACTTGAGTCAACTGTATAAATAAAATTGAACTGAAGAGGCATGTTTGTGTCTGTAGAAACCCTCACTGTATTTAAAATATCTCGTGATGAGGCAGACGTGTAATCGTGTGCAAATCTGATTTGGGGTAAAGTTGGTTCTGCTTTGGGAGGAGCTGTCTTGCTGTAGTCATTTCTGACAGCCTCCTCCTACAAGGTACAGCATCCCCTGGGTAAACATAGTGGTATGTAGGGCTCCACGTTCAGCTGCATGAAGCGTAAACACAAAACCAATTTGTACTCAAAGAGCATGATGGTTATGCTCAATCATACTCTCTATCTCTCTCTCTCTCTCGATGGAGAGAGAGAGAGAGAGATAGAGAGACAGAGAGAGATATAGATATATACCTAAATAGAGATATGTATGTATATATGTATATGTAGAGGAAGACAACCATTAATGGTCACAACTTATTTAAAATCACTAAACTGATGCTTGTCTTTGGACTGTTGGGGGAAGCCAGAGAACCCACCCAGAGTAGCTGGACAACCCCCACCTAGTTCATTTAAAGCCAGGACCTTCTTGCTGTGAGGCAACAGTGCTAAACAATGAACCACAGCTGAAATTGGAAAAGATTAATTCTTTTGAGATCTTATCAAAAATGTATGTTTTGCCACAAAAGGATAGCAGCAAGACAGAAAGGGAAGCCTTACGTAATAGTAGTGTGACCTGCTGTAAAGTATGGTTTGGAGAATGAAACAGACAAAAGATGTTGAACATGGAGCTGCCAGGCAAGAGAAAAAGAGAAAGCCCAAAAAGAACATCCATGGATATAGTGAAGGAAGACATGCAGAGGGCTGGTGTGAGAGTGGAGGATGCTGGGACAGTGAGATGGAGGCACATGATCTGCATTTGGTGATGAAGACATGCCAAAAGAGATTTCATGTCATTTTTCAAAAAATAATACTTTTATACATTTGTTTTCCTAACGGTATCTTGAGGTAAAGCAAACTGTACCAGAAACAAGTGCATTCATGGGGTTCCTACCATTTTCAGCATTGCCTGTAGTCACTTAATAAATCAGTGTTTATGGTACAAAATTACATAAAGCATTAAGTTGGATATGTTCATGCTTGACTTTGTTTTTAAGTGTATTAGCATAAGGTACTCAAAGTACAGGATCTCCAGGATTTTGTCAGACACAGGAACAGAAATACTCTCTCTTAGTTAAGTAAATGGTAAATGGCCTGTATTTGTATAGCACTTTACTTAGTCCCTAAGGACCCCAAAGCACTTTATACTACATTCAGTCATTCACCCATTCACACACATTCGCACCTTGGTGATGGCAAGCTACATTGTAGCCACAGCTGCCCTGGGGCGCACTGACAGAGGCAGTCAACAAAAAGGTTTGCTTCAAGTGCATATATTCAAAATTTCCACTCCTTGTTTGTTTATGAACATTTTTTTAAAAAAATTTAATAGCAGCAACCAACCAAATTTAGTTTAACAGTAATTAAAGAAATCGAATGTCCAGTCACCGTCTGCTAAATCTCTCATATTCTAATTAGCAAAAAGAAAGAAAGAAAGCACCTTTTTAAAAAGAAGCTGTTGAGTTGCATAAGGAGGATTGGAGGACTGAGTTTTTACACAGTTTGTCACTTTGTTGGAGCCCAGAAGTAAGATATTTTGCTGTCTTTTGCCTTGAGTTTGACATTGGCTGCACAGTAGAGTAAATATGCTGCTGGTGCTTCAGTTCATTGCTTTAGTCTAAGTATTATGTATGCTAGGGACAGGGCAGATTCTTTACCCTGCTGTTGGACATCCATTGATTTTTTAACCCACCTTACTCATGAACCCACAGGTAAGTCTTAGTTTCAAAACTTACTAGTTTAGTATTATGCCATAAAAATAGAATTAAACCCATTTGGGATATACAAGTAAATTCCTTCTTTAGCACTGAAAAGACATTGTGTATGACATCATAATGTGCCTTTACCCTCAGTTTTGGTTGAGTTTGATATGCTCAAAATGAGAACAGCAGGTATTGGTGAAAGGGGCATATACATAGCCTGAGGCCGGAAGGGGTGTGAATGATCCTGTTCCTGAAATTCAGATGCTATCTCCACTTGCTTCTTATCTGCATTTAACATAAGATAATTGACTAATATGCTAATATGTCCTTTGGGCATGCTAGCACAGGGGTCACAGCAGTCATAGTTTGGAATCTCTTCAACCTTTAGTGTTCCATGACTAACAGAGGACCAGAGCACTGATGGAAACTGGGAGTTTTCCAGTTGAATCTCCAACTTTAAGAGCTATTCCAGGCTACGTTTTCAAACAGACTGGATTATGAGCTGTGAGTTGAATCAAATGCAGCATTAACCTTGTTTAATTAGTCTTTAAGCAACTGCCACTGGAACACTGTGGCACTATTTTAAGTGGACCCATGAATTCATTAAACCTTCAACATTTCTAATGTGGATGTGGATTGGAGACGGGCATCTGAACCACCTCAAATCGCTCCCTTTAATGTGGAAGAGTAGCAGTACAGTACTCTGAGCCTCTTGTGAACGACTGAACTTCTTGCCCTTTCTCTGAAGGCCAACCACCCTTCAGAGAAACCTAATTTCTGCTGCTTGTATCCATAATCTTATTCTTTCGATCACTACCCCACATAGCAGACAGGTCTGGCCTGGATCTGGTGTTAAGTCGGCACTGCTGGCTGACAGCTGGCATGGTAAGTGGTATGTCATTCAGATATGGGCCAGGCCTGGCGTAGGTGGCACTGTT